GCCACACTGGAAGTACATTCCTAGAGGGAATATATATCAGACCATTTCTATGAAGATGAGGAATACAGTTTAGAGAACTGTTATGCTTTCTTTTATTAAAAACGGTTTACTGTGGACTCATTGTAGCATATTACTTTAATTAGAAGTTCAAGTAGGTAGCTAGTAGGTAGGTGTCAGAAGAAGCCTGAAGAAGGCTCCAAAGCCAAAACATTGTGCCTCTTTTCCTTTCAGCATGGAATAAACCTTTACCTATTCTTATTATTTTAGTTAGTTTTTTATTGATGGCTTAGCAGTGTATGATGTTTTCTCCGAGATGAAAACTAGAACCGTGTCTGTTCCTCATTTTTATCCATTCAGCGATTTCTTAGTTTGGCATAGTTCATGGATACTTTGGCCTCTTTGTTCAAAATTCAGTGCTCCATAGTGCCCTTAGACTAACTCTTAACATATTTATTGGAATGAAACCTATCGTGTGATGAATCACTTTGAATTCCAGAAAACAAAGAACTTTAAAGGCAGTCACAGTGTTTCTTGGCATAATCCTGCCGATTGGGTGCAGAACAAAATGAATGTAATGGACACCGTAGGAGGCTAATGTTTACTCAGTACAGTGAGAATGGCAGCCTTTCCAGATTGGAATGTTGCATTTCCTGCTACAGTTCCTGCCATGTGTTTCTCACTTCTCACTTTCTTATTCTGCCCCCTCCTCTCTTTCTCTTTTGTCTGTTTCTCCTCAGAGACCACCAATCCCCCCCCCCACTCACACACACACACCCTCTGTTTTTCTCATCTTTGTTCTTAACAGTATGGTCATTGTTATCTTGTCCTGTAGTTAGTTTAAGAAAAAACTAACATGAACAGAGCTTTCTGGAAAGGTTCCATTATTTATGTGTTACATAAAGGAATATCGCATGTCTGTAGAAGATCTTCATGTGGATGTGTGTAAGTGCTGAGAGTGTGTAGCTCAAAGGTTCTTTGAGGTCACCTCCTCCTTTCAGAGTTCTGCCCCATTTCTGTGTGTCAGACGCTCCTCCTCTGGGATGGTGACATGTGAGAGTGTGGAATGTTTGTGGTTAGATTTCCGGTTGTTGCTCAGGGCAAGGTGTAGCATAATTTACAGTAAGGAGCAGAGGAGCAGGTGGGACAGAGAGTGGAAAACCCTACAGCCAGATCTGTCCAGAAACTGAAAACAGAATCCTGTAGACCAGAGGACAAAGCATAGGAGAGAGGCATTCAAAAACACTTTTCATTCTAGGATTATTTAATAAAAAGAATCCTTAAAACATTATCCTGCAGCATCGTTAACCAGTTCTTGGGAACTTAGGTATTCTGCATGGCATAAAGGGAGGCCAGTTTCCTTACTTTTCTAAAAAAACTAAACTTGTTTCTAAACTTGTTTAGTTATTTTTATAGGAAATATACTCATATCCTTATGAAACAGAAAAAGATAATTGGACACAGTCAGTGAGAAGATCAAATTGAAATGTTAAAAGGATATCCCAAAATAACCATGAAATTATATTGTAGTACCATAGGACTATATATATACAGTACATTATGCAAAACATTAACATCATATAACTTGGTTACTTTTTATGATTTAAAAAAAATTGAACAGTGGTCTTTCATTTTTTTAAAAATAATTTCACTGTGTCGATGTAAACACCCCTAGACCTGACTGGGAGGTATGAAAAGCACAAGGTTTTTAAATTTAGTAATCCATTTTTAAATTGTACATCCTGTTCCCTTAATATGCTGCGATCATTGTCAAACTTTCCAGAGAAGAACAAAATGCTGAAATAAATCTTAAAATGTATAGGGTTGGACAAGCAGTTTTTCGAGCTCCTGTAAGCAAAACAATTTATTTTATTGACCTATCTTTGGAAATTAGTGTGTTTTCTGGGGCTTTGTGGTTAAACAAGTGTTGAATTCCACGGAGTAGTACAGACTTCTGGATTCGAATAGCTACCTGACAATTAACATGAGTCCCCATAAAACAATACTTTTCTGTATGTGTTGTGTACATTTTGTGGAATTCCGAGTATAAACACATTGAATACAAGGGGCCCAAAACCAAGAACATGTATAGTGAATGTTTAGATAAAAACTAACTTTGAGCTTAGTTTAAAATATTGAGTATCATCAAAAAATGCAGTTATTGAATTCTAAAGCAAAGAGTGTTGAAGAACCTTATATGCTAAAAGAAGTCTGTTTTCTTCCCATCATTTGCTTTTCAGTTCCAAAGTGGTATGCTGGCGTGAAGGTTAGTCAATGAAAGGATTCATTTGTTTAAAGGCGGTATTACTGTGTAGGATATGGTGGTACTAGGAAAAGCAGAGGGGTGAAGAATGGAACCAGTTAAGTAAAGACTCTTCTAAAGTAGAAGGTTTTGAGTCTGGATTTGAAGGAGTTTAGAGAAGGTGACTCTCTGATATCGTTGGGCAGAGAGTTCCAGAGCTTGGGGGCATAACAGGAGAAGGCCCTGTCACCCATACAATGTAGACGGGCTTGGGGGACAGTAAGGAGACCAGAATTAGAAGAGCGAAGGTTGCGAGGTGGGGAGTAAGGCGATAATAGTTCAGGCAGGTACTGGGGTGCCAAGCCATGCAGAGCCTTATAGCTTCAGCATTTGTGCTGTATTTTAATATTAGTTTTTGCAATCTTAAAATCAAAACCAGTGTTAAAATCTTAACCTGCCTTGGTCTGAGCTTTTAGACAAGAGGACCTACAGTACATGCAGCAACCGAATTAGACTGTGTTTTGTCAGAATTCTCTCTTGCAAAACATTTTTGTTTTCCTCTTGTAAACAACCTTTGAGTTTTGAAATTGTTTTGTAGACCTGGCTTTGTAATCAGTTACGATATTGCTCTGGTATGAGGGTGTGAAGGGAATCTGGCGGTTCTCCAGTACACCTGTCCGAAAGCCACACCTGAAGGAAAATGCTGTATCTCAGAATTCTCAGATTCTCATTCTAGTCCAGAGCCTTAAAAACAACGCACGTCTGCAGTAGTCTTCGGTGCTCACAGAAGAAAGTAATACGTAAGTGCGAATCTATTTATCCAGTGTTCTAGGAAAAGCACTTTCTCTAATAAGGCACTGTTTTTCAGTTCTGGCGTTTTTTTCTATGCTTCTCAGCAGAGGTTCTGTGTGTTGGAGAGCTTCCTCAGCAAGAAAATATTTTTCTGGTTTACAAATGTCACTGGCATTTTCACACTGTTAGATTATTACGTACATTTATTGAAGAAGAAGAACTTCAGATATTGTTTGCTTGATTTTTTAGTAGTGTTTGCTTTTTTCTGTTGAGATTGGCTAAGATTAGATGACTACATTGACTAAAGACTAAACTGAAACTTTGTTTTAACTAAACTTAACATGTAGCAGTGTTTAACCTAGACGTTTTTGAGTCAATTATTAGAGTAATAGTGAATATAAATTAATCACTCATGTAGTAAAATGTGTTACTTAAATAGTACCAATGTAATTAAAATTATATTATAATGGTAGCATTTTTTTCAAAACTACTTGAATATAATTCATGGACAAATAGATCATGTTTGAGACTTTTGCTGTGTTTTTCTGTGATTTGCCTTTGTTTCTGTTTTTTTCAAATATTTTGAATCTTTCTCCTTGTTAGGGTAAGTGTTGGGTAAAGTGTACTCTTACAGTACAAATGTGCATTCCTTTATTTTCAGAGCCTATTCTACATGACAGTTATTTGCAGTTTGTGTCATTTCTTTACAATATACCCTTTACATGTGATCTTTTGAAATGTGTTTTTGTATAGTATAAAGGCAAGTCTGATGTTTCCGTTTTTATTTTTGTACCTCTAATTGCTTTAATTGGATGTTTACGGCAGTTTGTTTCATTAGCATGCAAATGAAGCTGCTGTGAATTTTGATCTAGTAAGTAATTTTTCCTTGTTTTGCTTGTGTATATACTAGTACTGTAACTAAGACTTGTCTTTGCCATACAGAGGTCAGGGCAATCATACGCATGGTATAGAATATAAATGATTGTTGTAAACTTTCAGAATGAAACCTTGAAAACCTTTTGGTAACAAACTTGTGTGAAGCTTGGCATGTGGATTTGCAGAATACCATAGTTAAGTCTGCAGATTAATTTCTCAGACCATCCTTGCTATGGAATAAACAGTCTGCTGCAGTCAGGAAACTTAATGCTGAAGTTTGCCAATTAAAAAAGGAAACCCATCTGGAAGGCATTTTGGGGGATTTTTCATTCTTGTTGTGGTACTGATTTCATTTCATTACTCATACTCTTGACTATGCAAGTGCACATTTTCATTAAGAACATGCTTTATTGTTTAAATAAACTGTTTAGATGATACAGGAATTCATCCCTCCATGGCAACAAAAATTAAGACTTCTCTCATAAGGATAAGTGTCTAGTTTCCTTTGTTTTTGTTTTTTTAGCATTTGTCCACAGGATTTGCCGAGTCATAGATCTTAATGAATTTCCCTAAAGTTCTGTCCATTTTGTGCTGTATTTGTTACACAGCTTCCTGTGTGTTTTTGGCAGTGGAATGGGAAGACAGGATTTTCATGTAGATTTTCTAGATTTAAAATCCTGAGTAAGATGTCATTAATTCAGGATGAAGAGCACATTTTAAGAGTACTTAAAGGGTACCACAACAAAAACAAGTACTTTTCAAAAGTCTTTATGGACCAAGAGAATTCTTCTGTCGAATGAATTTGCAGCTGCCATTGAAGCTCCCACATTTTCTGACTGAATTTAATCATGTCACGACATCTTTTTTTAATTTGATTTTTAACTGCTTTTGTCCAGTTCTGTTTTTAAAACCAATTTCATTTTCCTTTGTGACAGTTCCACTAATTCTTAATAATTTAATCTATACTTAATGACTTAAGAGAAACTTAATCTGTGCTTATGATTTTTGCTAAAAGATGTTCAAAGAATTTATATTTTCTCAAACTATGATGGTTTTTTTTCTTTTTGTATAATTGACAGCTGTGGACATTAAAGGTACTGAATGCATCATATCAGTATCTTTAAAGTGTAGCATTTTTCCCAGTCCGGGAATACAGATGCCAGTGGCTTTTATGGCCATTGAGGAAACATGTATGATTTCTCCCTGGTCAGGAAGCAACTTACTGGAAGTCCCCCTTCTTCCTCTGGTTCGTCCTCCTCCCCTCTACCAACATTCACTCCACTTCAACCTTGTGTTGTCCCTGGACCCCACCCCCATTGTTCTAGCTTGTGTGTCTGCCTTCCTGTTTCAGAGTGGCTGGGTGTGAGGGACATAGCAGATCGGCTGTACATTCTTGAGTGTTTAGAGGAGCTTCTGGAGCTACAGGAGACCCAGGACCTTCCAGAACTCCAGAATGAGCCAGTTGCTGTGACCCACGAACCATCAGAGCACAGCAAGACAGGTAGGTAATGACCTGAGAAGCCAGGGTAGGTTTGACATGGAGGGAGAGGAGTTAAATAAAAACAGAATGAATCACAGGGCAGAAAGAATATATTAAGGAGACCAGGACAGTCAACTGAGAGGACTAATTACAGCATGTACTGTATGGGTTTGGATTAATGACTGGGTTCTAGAGCTTTGAAATGGGATGAACTAGGAAGTGCCTAGGAGTATATCTTAATGCAAAGAATAAAATTGTTTCTAAATTCAGAAGGACACAGTCTATTAGCTTTGCGTCTTAAGAAGAACATGCAGTTAGAAAAGTGTTTAATTCAGTGGCCTAAATAAGTGCAGCGTTTTTAAAACAAATGGAACATTGTTGTAGCGAGAGACAAGTAGAAAACAGAAAGGAAAGGCTCAGCTGACCTGGTGTAATAAAATTAATAGATGACCAATGTCTAATTTTCTGTCAGTCTGCATACAGGAAGTCGGAGTTAAATGTTGGTCATTCTAGTAAATTTGACCCCCCCCTCAAAGTGTCGCCAGACATAATGTGTTAAAACATTTCCTGCCATTGCAACCTTTAGTCCAGTGTTTCTTTCTGTTTTTGTCCATGGCTATTATAATTGAGGTTGGAGAGAGGAAGCCAGTTAAGTGTGTGGCTAAAAAAGTGGAAGAAAGTTGAAAAAAACATGTGCACAACATATGTAGGATTTCCTGACATTGATTTTGAAAGTGTGCATGAAGCATGTGGGATTTCATGACATTGATTTTGAAAGTGTGCATGATGCATGCAGGACTTCATGATTTTGATTTTGAAAATGTGCATGAAACGTTAAATGTTCTGTCATTGATTTTGAAAGTGTGCATGATGCATGTGGGATTTCATGATATTGATTTTGAAGCTGCGCGTGACGCATGGGGGAGATCATGATATTGATTTATATGGGAGATCTTGACATTGATTTTCAAATGTGCGACTGATGTGTGATGAAATTGTTACATTGATTTTCAAAACTGTGGCTCTGGGAGGTAATACATTTTGAAAGTATAGTAATGTATTTGGGAGATCATGACATTGATTTTGAAAGTGTAATTAAAGCATGTTGGTGATTGTTATATTGATCTTGAAAATGTAGCTGAAGCTGATTTGTGAGGGAAATCATAACATTGATTATTTTTCTTCTTTTGTTTTTGTTTGAGCCTTGAGCAACTACAGATGCCAAAACCTGACTTGTGTCCTAAATATATTTATTTACCACAGATGTTTCGGAAAAAAGCATCATCCTCCTTGAGAATGAGAAGAATTTCTGAAAGCAATAGATGTAATAATTTCACCTTCATTATTAATAGATGCTGTATTAACAATTAGATTGCTAACAATGAACATTCAGGGTCATTAACAGAAACCACTCTGTACTGTTGCCATTAAAGTTATGATACAGTGGTGATGAACTAATGCGCATTGACTTCATTTTTTTACTTTATTTATGTTCTAGCAAATGGTATGCTCTTTTGTAGTGTTTAAATGACAACAGTATCTTATGTTTATCACCTCAAATATAATTAAAAAACAACTCTTTGAAGTCCATTAGTGACCACTATAATCCTGTTTCAACATTTGAATTTTATTTCTAACAGTTCTTTGTGTGGTTTCTTCATAATGACTTTGCATGTTTTACAGTGAGTGCTAACCATTTGCTTTTAATCTCTGGCATTTTTATTGTGCCTTTTTAATCATGGCAGATGTTGAAATTTCTCATTTTTCTGACAGTTTACAAAATTGGAAATTAGGAGTGCAAAGGTTACTCTGTTTCTCCTTTGTGAAATGGATTCTGTTTGGTAGTAAAATACTGTTGTTTCTTCTAAAACAGCATTAAAAGGGGTGGATGGTTTAATTGCAGTGAACTGTGGACTTGCAAGAACTAAAAGAAACCAGCTTCTATGAATCTAGACGTTTTTACAATGCACTGTCTTTAATTTCTCTAAGTTATTTTTTTTTGCTGTGTATGACAATACCGTTTTTCTTCTCTTGCTGAAAGGGTTCTCATTAGACTCAGGGGCAACCTTTAACACACTGAATGTGAAAGTACAGCTGGAAAAGGATTAAAAGACCGTGTCTTTTGCCAATGTTTTGTATTTTTTATATATACGATAATTATATTATTTATTATTAATATATACAAGTATTAAATAAACATTTTTCAAAACCTCATCTAAACCTTATGATTTGAGAAAGTGATCGCATTAGGTGAATGGCTATCATTCAGTGTGTTAAACATTTTCTGGGTTAGGTGGCTGTTTTAACTTTTCCAGGTTCAGAGGATTATGGTGGCTGCGTTTTTACAGCATTTTCCATTCATGTTGTGTGTTGTTTTTTCCCAATGAATATATGCTGTTAATGGATACCTACAAAAAGATAAAATCAGTACTAACACCCAATACTTGTCTCTGCATTTTACCCCATTGGTTGAGTCTTCCTTTCCCCTGTTTGTGTTTGGAAGCTTAATGGTTGGTATTTGCATCAGTTGTGATAAATGATGCATGAATGTCTCACACACAGGGAACATTGAACGTGGCAGAAGTTCTTCATTCCACGAAGTCCGCGGCCTGCGGGAGATTGACATGAGGGCCGCGGAGGATGGATCCAGCAGCAGCAGTAGTGGCAGCAACACTGTCTTACAGCGCCTCCTACAGGAGCAGCTCCGCTATGGCAATCCCGGGGAGAGTAGAAACTACCTTGCTCTGCAGCAGCAACAGCAGCAGCAACAGCAGGGCCCAGTGAGTGGAGTGTCCTACGGGACAGCTGGTAACCAAGGCGAAGACCACTCCATGGTCCCTCACATCGCCCGGCAGGAGCCTCAGGGCCAGGAGCTGCAGGCCGACAGTGGAATGGAGAAGCAGCTGGCCTCGTCGGGGAGAGGTGGAGGTGGAGGCGGAGGAGGACAGGGGCCCAGCGCTGAGGAGCTGCCCACCTATGAGGAAGCCAAAGTTCAGTCTCAGTATTTCAGAGGTCAGCAGCAGATACCACCCACAGTGGGAGCGGCCTTTTACGTGACTGGGGTGACCAATCAGAAGGTGCGGACTGAGGGGCGGCCAACAGTGCAGCGAGTCAGCGGTGGCAAGGTGCACCAAGACGAGGGCCTGAAGGACCTGAAGCAGGGCCACGTGCGCTCCCTCAGTGAGCGCCTTATGCAGCTGTCCCTGGCAACCAGTGGAGTCAAAGCCCATGCTCCTGTGACGAGTGCCCCCCTCTCCCCACAGCCTCCTCCTGGGCCCCCAGGGGACTTCTACAAACCAAACATCCAGCACAGGGGCCCACCACCAGACTACCCCTTCAAGAACATGGTTTCCCCCCCCAAGATGCAGGAGCCAGGTCACTACTTCCCTGACCACCGGACAAGCCAGCAAGGCAGGGCTGATGTGCCCCATGTCCGGTATCAGCCTCCACCTGACTATGGAGCTGTCAGGTAAGGCTCAGCACACATTTCACCATTGTAGGCAGCATTCAGATCACCCTTTACCTTTTAACCTCTTGCTAAAAACTGTACACACATCATTTTCTTAGGACAGACCTCATTACTAGCTTATTACACTTCACATTGAAATGCTGTTGTCTTTTATTTGCGTCACATGCAACATGTTCCTACTTGATAGTTTTTTTTAAGCAGGTTAGTTGCTTACTTAATAATAGATTTGATTATTGGGCTGAAATTTAGCTATCTTCATATTTATCTAACACAGTGTAGATAAAAAAGCTCTTGCTTGGAGTTCCAAATGGAACAGGCTCTGGTTGTCCGCTTCTTGTTTTCCTGTTTTAGTTTACATGGACAATATACAAGACTTCAGATAAACAGTTGCTTTTAAAGGTTATGCCTTTAAAAATGTTCCTTAATATGTGTTTAAGAGTGTTTACACTGAGTGACCAGTTTATTAGGTACAGTACATCTGCCCTTCCTATGTAATTGACCTCTCAATCAGTGAGACTGCGCCATATGTGCAGACAGTGCTATTTAAAGCAAGTAGGCATGCACCTACGGATTGTGTGTGTACAATTTTTGGGAGAATGCACAAGACAAAAGATTAATGTGAACACAGCTTGATAAGGGGGACCAGATGTGCGAGAATGAGTATATTAGCAACTCTGCTGGGATTTTCACGCACGACAGTGTCATGGGTGTACTGGAAATGGGCTACCACCCAAATAATATCTAGCTAGCAGCAATCCTCTAGTCGGAAGAAAAACCATTGATGAAAGGGGCCGACAAAGGCTGACACGACTCGTGCAGAGCTACAGACAGGCTACAGTCAGTCAAAACACAACTGAGGACAACAGTGGGGACAACAGAGGCATATCAGAACGCGGAACGCATAACTCGTCACATTGAGTCACGGATGAGGTATGGCAGACAACGGCCCAACTGAGTTCCACTCCTCTCTGCGAAAAACAAGATGGTGTGGTTGCAGTGAGCTAAGGAACACAAACACTGGACACTGGAGGATTGGAAAAATATCACATCACCTGGTCTCATGAATCCACGTTCCTGCTGTTTAACGCTGATGTGAGGACCAGGATATGGAAAAACTACCCACCCACACAACATCCCATCCACAACATCCTTGCCAATCAAGTGCATCCCTTCTTGGCATCAGTATACCCATCCACGAATGGGCTGTTTGAGGAGGATGATGCTCCATGCCAAAGGGCTAGGAAAGTCCTGAAATGGTTCCAGGAACATGACAGTGAATTCAGCTTAATGCATGTGGCCTCCCCAGTCACCAGATCTCAATCAAATCAATTTGTGGGATGAGTTGGAACAAGCTATTCAGAGTACAGATCCACCACCAACTAATTTGCAACAACTTTGAGACACATTGGAGTCAATATGGCCCAGCATCCCTGTGACACCTTGTTGAGTCCATGCTTCGATGAATTAGGCTGTTCTGAGGGCAAATGGGGGACCAACTTGCTGTTAGGTAGATGTACAGTACCTAATAAAGTGCCCACTCGGTGTAAATAAGTAGTGTCTATGCTTTTAATTTTGGGTGAAATGGCATGTTTTACATTTTAAGGTTTAAAACCTTTTGAGCTAAGAAGAACATTTTACTAATCCCTGGCCCTTTTTTGAACTCATGCATCTTTTCATATTTTTAATTAAAGTAAGATGCACATCTTAATTGCAGGAATACATTTGTGAGGTGCTTTGTCAAAAGAGAGATGCTTTGTCATCCCTTGCCTTTTCCACATTCTACTGTCATCATACTTTCTGGGCAAAGAATAGGCAAAACCATACATATAAGAAGAAAAGGGCACTGCATTTCCTAAAAAACATGAAAAAAGTTGGCCCAAAATCAGGAAGACGCTGAGTCTTGAAGACCCTAAGAGCCCTAAGACTCTTCCAGAAAAAAAATCAATTTTGTGAATGGAGGACTTTTTCCATAGTCTTAAATAAATGGAAAACCATAAATAAATCTACAGGATATCTAGAAAATAATTTAGGTGTATAGTACAATAGGCTGCACTTTTATCAATGTGAGTAGTAAAACCTCTTAATAGACACACATTAATCAGGTGATAGACTTTTAGTGGTGACGTTTATGATAGTACCAAGAAAAAAATCTAGAAATCTAATGGAACAGTTGTAAAAGATTATCCTTGCCAGAGAATTAAACTGTGCTGAACTTTCCGTTCTTTCATTACAGACAAACCCAGGAGAACTCTGGTCATTCTCAGAGACCTGTCCACCACCACAGCCCCACATCTTCCATGACCTCTGTGGGCTCCATCTCTCTGGCCCAGTCCTCCACCCACAGTAGCATGATGGGGTCTCCTTACCCCCCCTCTCAGCACCTTCACTCAGGGGAGCCTTTCCCACTTGGCCCTCGAAGCCCCCATGGACCCGGTTCCCACCAGGGGGACCCCTTCAGCCTGGCCTCGCTCCCTCCTCATACTCTGCGCGGGCCGCCTTACCATGTAGGAGACCCCTACATGTCATCTCCAAGGTCCCAGCAGCACCTCCATCATAGCCACTCCTTTCAAGGGGACCCCTACGCCATGGTTTCCCGGGCTCAGCAGATGGTGGAAATGCTCTCGGATGAAAATCGAATGCTGAAGCAGGAGCTGGAAATGTGCTGTGAAAAAGTGGCCAAACTGCAGAAGGTAGGATTTCTGGATAGGTCTGTGGGAATTTTTTTATTTTAAATGACTGGTCTAAATGTGATTTTTTATTGCTGTTGTACATAGGCAGTTTTTCTCAGAAACTCTACACTAGTACTCTGTTATTTGTGGAATAAGTGAAACTTTCAGTGCTAGAATTGCATGTGGTCACACACTACAAAAACTGCTGCAATTATTTGCCACATTTGCCTAAAACTGAAGTAAACTGCAGACAATACAGTAAATGCTAACATATAAAGGCAGAATCAGAATTTGCATCTGCTTACACATGGTGCACTTGCGAGTTTTCCCATATGTGGTGGGTCGTAGTTAGTACACCATTGAATTAATCTCTGCCTTCATTGGTTCCTATAATACAGCAGGTCGTTGCCAGACTGCCTTAGATCCCAAGTCCAACCAATTAAGTAACCACAGAAACTCAGTCTTCACTGTGGTCTTGTCATGTACAGCACAGTAGATTAATTTTAAAAGTGTTTAATTTTTTTTCCCACCCCAGCTGGAGACAGAGATCCAGCGTGTATCGGAGGCCTATGAGAATCTGGCCAAATCCTCCTCCAAGAGAGAGGCTCTGGAGAAGACCATGAGGAACAAACTGGAACTGGAGATTCGCCGATTACACGACTTCAACAGAGACTTAAGAGGTGAGGTATGGCCAGTTAGGCATGGCTGGATCAGTTTAAATGGAAATTCAAAGGATGAGTGAGAATGGCGAAAGGGTAATTTCTAAAGAATTAATCAAACAAAAGCCAGATTTCTTGAAGACACTGATGATTACACAAAATTTCTGAATTTAAATAAAAGAGTTATAGTGAGTGTTCTAAGTTACACTGTCATATATGTCATTGTCTGCAGGTCTATTTGAAGAGGCTACGCATTAATTCCTAGACAGTGAAGGGACAATTAAAAAATTAAAAAAATGTGTCAATGCTTCTTAGTATGCTAGCATGCTAGTATGCTTAGTATGTGTCAATGTTTCTGTTCGAAAATTGAAGATTGTTTGTGGAAAAAAAACATAATTCTAAATGATCTACTTTTTTCTCTTGATGGTTGTTGTAAGTAAAGCCAATAATACTGTATAACTCACCACAGTAGACTGAAAAATTCCAAGATTATGAAAACTGAACATTACATTGATATTTGCTTTAATTTTTTAAAAGGATATACAGTACTTTGCACTGTTCAAAGAACAAAGGCTTCGTCAGATTTGCATCTGGATGGTTTTGGTTCATTATTATAGTGAGAGGCATGAAAAATGCTACAAGTATTGAAACTAGTGGCATTTGTTGTGCTTTTAATGCCTTTCATTATGTTTTTCATTAGTTTATAAAACACTCTTATTCATGCAGTACATAGTTAACATGCTGTTCACAGAAATATTGTTTAACATTTGCCCCAAGTTTACTGTGAGCATTCATTCAGTATTGTTGCAAACTGAAATATTGGTATATTTCAGAATAATAGGTTGTTTGTTTAGAGTATTTTTATCCAGTTGATGAATTCTGAATTGAATTGATGGAGTTTGTTAAAGTCTTTTTAAAATCTTTATATAGGTGAGGTATGACTAAATCTTCTCCCAGATTTAAGCTTTCCTCCTTTAATGCACCAATTCTAAAAGTTATTACCAACAGTTTTCTAAAAAAAATATATCTTGATATTTGGAATTTTTTATAATACAATTTAGTTTCTGTGGAAATCCAGAAGTAAAGCTATTCAGTTCATAATCCCAGTCTTTTTTTACTATTAAGGTATTTAAATACTATTTAGTGATTAAAGGATTTACAGATAGAACATTTATAAAGTTCATTTTACATTTATGTTTTTTATATAAACTACTTACATTAAGCCAGAATAGACGGGAGGTCACATATACAGTCAGCAAAGACGGAACAACCAATAATCCATACAAAACATTACTTCATCCTCTTCAACAGAACAAAATCAGGTCTCAACCCAGTCTTTTTTAATGTCAGCATTTAGTGTATGTGCAAATGAGGATTGTAGGGGATTACAAATTTTTGCTGTTATGATTTAAATTTTTAAATACATGGGCGAGCAGTGGCTCTGGCTAAGGATCTGCGCCTGTGGCTGGAAGGTTGCCGGTTCAAATCCTGTGGCTGGCAGAGTAATCCTACTCCGTTGGGCCCCTGAACAAGGCGCTTAACCCCAGCTGCTCCAGGGGCGCTGTACAATGGCTGACCCTGCACTCTGACCCAAAGCTTCTCTCCCTGTCTGTGTGTCTCATGGAGAGAAAGCTGGGGTATGTGACGAATTCCTAATGCAGGAAATTGTATGTGGCTAATAAAGTGACCTTAATAGTATGATTTTAATGTTGGTTTGGACGAAAAAGGTTGTTTTTAGTAATAAATTGCTTTCATTCACTATAGAGCGCATGGAATCTGCCAACAAACAGCTGTCTGCAAAAGAGTATGAGGGATCAGAAGACAACCGTAAGACCATCTCCCAGCTGCTTGCTCAGAGTGAGTAAATGTTTTATTACAACAGACCAGTGGATATATCTGTCTGCATCATGAAAGTTACTAGAACATACAAAACAAACAGGTGTAATGCACAATTTTTGTATTTAATCTTACTGTAAATATTTTGTGGCTTGGGCTTTGTACAGTATGTCTGCAAAACCTTTTTTGGCTTAGATTTTTGTGCTTTCAAAATGTGTGCTTACCCTTTTTGTCATTTCAAAAGAGTTAATCCAGATGATTTGGTTAACAGAATTGTTGCTAACTGAATAATTAAAACTGAAAAGCAACCATATACCTACATATTCAGAAATATCATGTCGTGAGACTTACCCTGGAGCTCTTTTTGGCGTCTGTCACCTGATTAATGTAAATTTTAAAATCAGCATCTGTTTACATTTTTATCAAACATTTCGTCATTAAGATACATAAAAAGGTTTACAGCAATTTTCATGGAATACTGAGTTCTTCATCAAAACGTTTTGACTGACTCTGCAAATCAGTTGCAGGAACTCTGTTTTCTGGCTTTCAGATAGCTGTGCACTTTTTCTTTTCCGACAAATGCATATATATAGTTTAGAAATGTTTAACCTTGTTAAGTACTGAAGTAGATTTAAATTTATGGACGAACACTCTTTTGTATCTTAATTGGTAAGTTGACTCCATTTGGCTTTGCAGACAAGGAGACCTTGAGGGAGAAGGAAAAGCTAGAGATCGAACTGAATGCCCTGCGCTCCACCAATGAAGACCAGCGAAGGCACATTGAAATCCGGGACCAGGCTCTGAACAATGCGCAGGCCAAGGTGGTGAAGCTGGAGGAGGAAGTGAGTCTATCAGCTTATACAAAATATGAGTATAAAGAAGATAGTTTAACTGATGCACATTTTACAATATGACACAAAGTAAACAAAGTAGCCAGAATCTCTCATATTGGTTATCTCCTTATGCATTTATAAGCATTTATATTTAATTAAAATGGCTTTTATAGGCTGATACCAGAAAAAAGTATAGGTTTGCTTATGAAGTATTACGAATGAGTAAACATTCTAGAATGCATTTTGGAAGGATACAGTAATAATTTTGCCATTCGACTCAGCTGACATGGTGTACAAAATGTTCTAATATTGTTCAGAAGTTTGGATAGCATACTTGTACAGTATGTATAGCATGTGCTTTCCCCTCGAGGTCAGACTGTTTTAAGATGAGGGAACAGCCAAAACGCAGGATGAAAGTCCACAACAGACATTTAAAAAAAAATCTAAAATGCATGTTTATGTATTTCTCAGATATTTTTAATAAATAAATGAACAGTTTTTGCAAACCAATATGAAAAAGCCTCATCAGTGAAGCAGTTTTGCCAGACACTACAGGATGCCACAGTTCTGCAATTGCTGATCTTAATACATCTTAATGCAGCTTTCACATGAGCTCAAAGAATTCCGTTGCAACCACAGAAAATCAGAAAGTGCCTGCTCACAAAGAAAAACATTATTTTGCTTCCAGCAGAAACGCAAGATCAAATTGGATTTAATAATTATTGTTGGTACTCCAAATGTTAGCATTTCAATCATGTGTATTACATGGGGAAATATTTTTGTGTGGATTGAAATTACGGAAAGTATAAAATACTGTTATTAACTTTGGTTAAGTTTGTGAAGACTTGACTTTTTAGAACAACAGCGATAGTTACACAAGTTGCATTGTAATGGTGTTATTGTGGCAAGCCTGCTTAAGAAAGGGCTGTTGTAACTGCCATCTTAGGGCCCTATACAGCTTCTAATCTCTGTAGATAGCCACACTGAGTGTTTATTACTTAATTATTAGGTAATGGGTCAAGGAATGAGAACCATGTTCTCATGTGTGTAATTCCGCTTTTGTTTGGTATGTAAAGGGCTGCTTGGAGCTAGTGGTGGTTTGAAAACTATTGTTATTGTAAAAACCTGAAATCTTACGATAAACCCTTCTGGACTTTACTTCTTCTGACCATAGTAAGTTTTGTGTGTACATAATCTTAGGAAACATGCTGTTAAAGAGTATAGTATGCCACAAATTGGTGCCAAAATCCAGGAGCACGCTATTGTTGAAAAATAGAGTTGATGCCCCATATTTTTGTTTCAATTAAAAAAAAAACCCAACGTGATGGTAAAGCTCTGGTTCTGGCAATGTATGGAGATGATGTGATAAGGACTGACCCCTCTCCAAAACCTTGTGAAGCTTCTGGGAGGAAAAGGAAGCCATGAGGATAATGGGACCCAGCTCTCTGGCATAGACAGTGAGGCAGTATTGCAGGAAGGACTGGCACTGCCTCTGGTGATTGACTGGGCTTGTTCAGTGTGGGAGGAGTGCTCCGAAAGTGACATAGTGTGGCTGTTGTATAGTGTTGTTGGGTCTGGGCATGATTGTTAATAATGTTTCTTTATTAGCCCTATACAATTTCTTGCATTAGGAATTCGTCTTTTCGCATACCCCAGCTTTTCTCCAAGGAGACACAGACACACAGACAGGGAGAGAAGCTTGGGGTCAGAATGCAGGGTCTGCCATTGTACGGCGCCCCTGGAGCAGTTGGGGTTAAGGGCCTTGCTCAGGGGCCCAACGGAGTAGGATTCCTCTGTGTCCATGACACAAGGGCTCATGGTTCCAAATCTTAACATGTGCCCCATCTGCCAGAACCAAGTCAGTGTGATTGAACAGAACCTGGACACCAGGGTTCAGAGCCAGCAGCAGGTACTCTTGTAGATCTTTACAGTGGGTGAATGCATCTACAGTATGTGGTTTTACCTGCAGATGGACACTAAATAAATAGGGAGCCAGGAAGTTACAAAACTAGAAAACCTGTCACGCGTGTATCAAATTAACCTGTAAACTGAGTGAGAAGTGTAGAGCCCTACAGGCTGGTGAACAGGAAGAACCTGCATTAACACCCAACATTACTCAACATTAACACATGTAAGACCCTGATCAGCAGGCTGCAGTCCAGACAGGCTGAAAGTGTATGCACATTTCATAGTCAACTAAAAGAGGTGAACTATGAGCTGAAAAGGTCCCAGAGCTACAGCTACAGCCGCAGCCTTCAAGCAGAGCTGAAGAATCTGTGTGACAAAACTCTGGTGAGCCTAGAAAGATTAGTCAGGCCCTGCAGGCTAACAAACAGCAAAGAAAAATCTGGGAATCTAAAATGGCTCCCTTTGAGACACAGAGCAGCCAGCGGCAGCCCAGCTAGCCTGAAAGCACACGCACACTTGAGGAGAAACTGAAGGAGGTGAGTGATGACCTAGAAAATTCTAAGAACAGCAGCCACAGTCTCTAGCAGCAGGGGATAGCCACTCTTGCTGAGCTCCAACACTGGCTAACAAGTGCAGAGATGCGAGAGAAGAAAAGGAGGCATAGGTGAAAAACAATTCACAGTAACAGCCCAGCCAGGCCCTTTCTGACAATAAATGCTTGGAAGATGTGATAATATCTACATAAGCCCTGCTAGAAACTAGAGGGAGGAAATGGGAATCTACATGAAAAATCCCCCACAAAATTGAACAAATTAAAGATCTCTCACAGGAACATTTAAACACTAACAAAGTCCTGGCAGCTGCAGAAAAGCAGTACACTCCTTCCTCATTATCATTTTGACAACAATGAAATTAAACTTATGTGCTGATCCTCATAAAAGTGTAGCTGAATCCTCTATGTCCATATTCTGCATTCCCCTTGAGATGGGTCATGCAAAGTTCTAGAAAGCAAGTGAATTGAATGTAGATGAAAACAAGTAGATAATTGTCCCCTTTATGTCCACTAAAACTATGGACTGTAGCAGTTTGTACAACTTGGATATTCTGTCTTAATTTCCCGTTTTTCTTAGACTTTTTGTTGTGGACACTATTGAAAACTTAACTTTCCATTCTTTTTGAAAAAAGTATAAAAATTAGTTTAAGGTTTTGCATAAGTTTTCTTATAACAGTGTGATGACCGGGTTTGAACCTGGAGAAGCTGAGAAATAATGTTGATACTCCAGCCAAAAGCAGCTTTTTTTGAAGACTGCCTCTGTGTACTTGGGACTGCTCCTGTTTTTGATTAAACCCTTCTTTTGAAATCATTGAGATGGTTCCCTGACAATCGCATGTCAATGTAACAGAAGTAACTAAATTGAACAAGCACACATCAGAACCAGGAGTAGCAACGTTTACTCTTAAAAAAATAAAGAAAGATGAAAAATACTGCTAAATATATCTTCATTTTATATTTTACTTTGTCAAGAACTAGTTAGTACTTTTGGCAAACAAATACAGGATCAGATATCCTGTGCAGACCACAGGCCATGTAATTCACCTGTCTGTATTTCCTTCTGTTGCATTTTAATACTTTAAACCATTTGTTCAGAAACTCTGTTCCTGGAAGAACATGTCTGTTCTGTTTGTTTTTTTTTCTACACCTGCATTCTTAATCAGAATCTAATTTATTTCAGTTTTCTATTTGTGGGTTATTTGTAAATTTTAAAAAGTCAAGTGGGATTGTAATTGATATTGACCCTGTTTCTCAGATTAGAAGCTGTTCTCATTCAGGTGTATTGCTTGACATGTAACCAATTGGATCTTTGCAGGAGGAAAAACACTGTCAGTGTCTTATAAAGTATCATTCACATCTATTTCTGTTCATCATCAATTGAAAACTATAGTAAGAGCTGATCAGGTAAGATGGATTGTTAGAAATGGTACCCTTGAATTAGGGTCTTTCTGACACTTAGGACCTACCAAAGAAACTAAACAAGTCTGAACAAGCAATCAGTTTAAATCAATCGTCATTTAGCATTGCAGAGTTAGAGCTCAGCTGGAGTGAAATCAATAGACAATGTTCTTCTAGGAACAGGATTGGGAATCCCCGCTTTTTATAATATATGCTGTCTGGCTTTAATGTTACCTACAAGTAAATGAGCAATGATAGCAACTATAGCAGGCAACGGGCAAGCAAAAATCTATTCAATTGTCCTGGGTAAAAAAAGTTGAATTACACATGTTGGGTGGCAACAATACTTTTACAGTGCTGGGGCCTGGGTTTAATTCTGGACCTGGGGTGCACCCCATATTTATATGTTTTTTTTTTCCTGTGTTCGTGTGGGTTTCTTACATGCGCTCCAGTTTCTTTCCACACTTCAAAGACGTATTGATAGGTCAATTGGCTTCTGGGAAAATTGGGCCTGATGTAAGTGTGTGCTTGTTTGTGTCTGTGTGTGCCCTGAGATGGACTGGCACCCCATCCAGGGTGAATCTTTCCTTGAGCCCGTTGCTTGCAGAAATAGGCTCAGGCTCCGCCATGACCCTGTATTGGATAAAGCAGTTAGAAAATGGAGGGTTGGGTGGAATACTCCATGTTTTAAAGCCCATTGACAATTTGCTCTTAAGCAATATTTTGCCTACAGTTATTGTCAATATGCACCAGAACCTGTGTATTTCTGTGGTGTTTAACCTGGGCCTGCTGTTTCCCAGCTGAAGAAGAAGCAGGTGTATGTGGAGAAGGTGGAACGCATGCAGCAGGCCTTGGCTCAGCTGCAGGCTGCCTGCGAGAAGAGGGAGCAGCTAGAACATCGCCTTCGGACCCGGCTAGAAAGGGAACTGGAGTCACTGCGCATGCAACAGGTGGGGGACCATCCATGAGCCAAACCTTAGCCAAGGCCAGAACTGGCATTAGAGCAGGGAGGGTTAGAAGAAGACTCATTGGAAATATGTCTGCCTTTCCTTTCAAAGAAAAGCCTGAGGGAAGCCCCTGTTCTAGAATGCATCCCCTCTCCATGACTTTTTCAGGCCCCAAGGAATACATATTGATGCCACTTGTGCTACAAATAGTGAAATAGTGCTTTGAGGCTGTACATTTATATATGTTTTGTCTCATGAAATGTCTTTTAAATAGGTATCAAAATGGGTACTTCAGTTGAGAATTACTTGTTTTTTCTACATTCCTTTGTCAAGTTGTTTTCCTCATTTCAAATTCAGTTCGGCTATTATTTTTCATCGCACCATTTCAGTAAGGCATGTTTTACATGATTCACCAGGGACACTCTAAATGTGGGTGAGAGTTCAAAGTCGATTAAACAGCAATATCCTGTTTACATTTGTTGATCCTGGGATCTGCTCTTTAAGGAGGAATTTGACAGCTAGAGGTTACATTAGGATGGTGTCTTGAATATGTCAGAATGTGCTTGTTTCAAGTTAAATGCCACTTTTTGTATTTGTTTTACCCCATATTAATACCTAAAAAGCCAAGATAAAACACTGGAGCAAAATCACAGGCAATGTGTTTTTTGTTGAACTTGCCCATGAAATGCAAATATATATAAAGTGAATTATAAGTGGATAATAAATAGAAAGAATACACATGCAGCTTAAACTAATGTTCAAATTCAATTTCACAATTGTGATTCTCTAGGATATTTCTTCTGATTTTCATTTAATCTAAATTATTGAGCCTAATCAAGCCCTTTAATTGATCTACTTGCTTGAAGAGACTTTTGTGGAAGTAGTGGCAACTTTTAACATGGTAATTTAATTAATCATGAATTCTGTACCAAGATGTGGCTTTTTGGGCAGTCCTATTATTGTTTTAGTGACCAGGTGTCTGTTGAGCAATTGAGCCTTTTTATAGTTAACAGTGCTTGATTTACTTCATTTTACTGCAAACTGTTTTGTGGTTGCTTTCCAATATTGTTTAGAGAATTAAAGGAAAACAACAATCCTACACTTCTGTTTCAAGTCTGAAATTGAGGACAAAACAAATCTTAATTAAAGGTTTTTTAAGCCTCACTAAGAGCCGGAGCCTAACTAGTATGAAAACCTGGAGAAACCCTGTTCTCTAATGCAACTTAAAAATTAAATACATTTAATATATAACAGGAGAAGAAGGAGGCAGGGCACAAAGAATTAATAACAAGTAGTATGTTATCAGACAAGGGTGTGGTAGAGGTTAGGGCTCTGGACTCCTGTTAGGAAGCCCATGGGTTCAAATCCAAAGTGCAGACACTGCTTCTGAATTCTTGAGTAAGGCCTTATACCCAGATAGATAAATGCAGCAAACTCAGCTATATACTGTAAATGGGTACCAAAATGTATGCACTTTGTTATATGTTGTATGAATATATAAGATAAAGGTCATTGTGATAAAAGTGTCAACCAAATAAATTGATATTAATATTTGGTTCTGTTGTGTGAAAGGCGAAGATGTAACCTTCCTTGTCTGCATCTTTTGTAGCGGCAAGGAAGCTCTCAGAACAGTAACACTTCGGAATACAATGCCACAGCACTGATGGAGCACCTGCGGGAGAAGGAAGAGAGGATTTTGGCCCTGGAGGCCGACATGACCAAGTGGGAGCAGAAGTATCTAGAGGAGAGCGTCATGAGGCAGTTTGCTCTGGACGCTGCTGCCTCAGCTGCCACTCAGAGGTAATAATAATAATTAATAATTGCTTACACTTAAATAGAGCTTTTCTGGACACTCCACTCAAAGCGCTTTACAGGTAATGGGGACTCCCCTCTACCACCACCAGTGTGCAGCATCCACCTGGATGATGTGACAGCAGCCATAGTGCACAAGAACGCTCACCACACATCAGCTATCAGTGGGGAGGAGAGCAGAGTAATGAAGCCAATTCATAGATATTGATATAGGTAGGTGGAGTATAGCCACTTCGAAGAGTTCTCTAGTAGATGTCAAGCAGTGCATGGCTGTGGTAAAATGTGGGTTTCAGAGAATTCAGTATTGACAGTGCATTACAGTATAAAATTAGGTTTGATGTCTTATCATCTTTGGTTTTCATTTAAAAGGCCTAAATACTGTGTTTTGCCTCATCTCCCTTCACGTACTGTGCGGAATTTTCAGGATGGAAGGGGTGTTAATCATGAAAAAGGTCAAAGGTCACACACTTTACACATTGAAATAGCCACTGAATAATTCCATAGTATTCTGTCACTAATATCAAACAAATGTTTAATAAAAGTTCTCACATCAGGTGAGATTATTATTTTATCGCTATGGTTTATTTTAAGATTTTAAGGCTTGAATAGAGGGCAAATAAACTGGACCATAGCTTGCTGGTTAAAAAGCCAATTTGCTTTGAGCTGAAAGCAATCAGAAGATGATTAGACACACCAGAACCAAATGCAAAAATTATAAGAGTAATTGACTTTTAATTAATAGCATTGGTTCAGACAAAGGCTTAAAGGAAAGCTATTTATATCATTTATATTCTGCACACCTCTGCTGGAGAATAATGTGAACCTTAACCATTTTTTGTTCTACGGTAGAACTTCCAGTTTGTCCTTATAAGTACCACACTGTACTGCCAGAGGTTGACACTGTATAATAAAAAAAAGTTTTCCCTGTTTACAGTGGAGAAAAAAAGAGTATAAAAAAAGTTCCTTTATGTAAAAGAGCAAAATATTTATTTCTCAGAAGTAAGCTGATTTGTTATACATGTTGCACTACATATTTTACTAATGAATGTGTTAAAAACATAAAAATATTGCAAAAGCAAAACCTTGCAAAAATACAAAAATATTTACTTACTAAATAACTGCTTGAATCCAGAAAAAAAATCAAGTTTTTCTGCACTTACAAGAGGGAGGTAAAACTTAGACTAACTTGCTGTGAATTTGGCTGATCTGGTAGGCAAAAAAGCTGTAATTCAGTTAATTCTATCCATTCACAGATTTAGAAGAGGTTTACACATTGCTATGGTTACAGCCTGGCTGTATAACTGGTTCTTTTGTCTATGCCTATCAATCAAGTGAAAAATAAACACTGCTTATCTCTCCTTTTATGAGCGTGCCTCCTATAAGTTAGAAAGCTTATTTTTACAGCTTAAAACAGAATAGTCCTCTATTACTGCCTGTAGCTCAATAATAATAGAACTAATGGAGTTTTTATTCTTCTTTTTATAATTTGATCATTTTATTTTAGAAGATAATCATGACAATATGTGGCTTTACAAAATGTCTTGCAGAATGTTTTGTCTTTGTCCTATTATTTACAGATTTGTATCCAAAATTAGTATGAATATAGAAGAAGCACTGGAAAAAATTGGTCCTTTTTATGCCCTAGGCTTTGGAAAATTGACTTTTAAAGACTAAAAATGATAAACGTGTTGTTTTTTTGTGCTTTTATTTTGGGTATTTCTTTCTAGTGTATGAACTGAATAATAATAAGGAAAAATAAGTTTCAGATCTGAAGCAAAAGGAGTAGCTTCAGTTTAAGCCCTGAACCAGGCCTCTACTGTCTATACTTACACCGTTATTACAAATGTTTAAGGGCACGTCATTCCAGATGGAAATTGAGGTTTATGGCCCATGGGGGTAATAAAACATCACAGTGGTCAGCTGTTTGTTTGAGAATAGTGTCTGTTACAGTATGACCTCTTTTTTTAGCAATGTATACTGCAAAACCAAGCAAAAAATTTAGATTAAACAGTTCACTATATTTGTCAGATGGGCGAGTTGCAACATGTATATTAGCTGTTGTTTTTACATTTATATCCACAGACACCTGTTTAAATGACATTATTTTCAATATGCAACCCTAATGGACCTAGGTTGTTTTGGAGAAAACGCTTGGAGAAAGCTGACATTTAAAGGATCTAAATACAGGTTACATTACAAATTACCTTGTAATGTCAGCTTTATGTTTGTGATCATGTAAAAGTGACATTACAAGGTAATTTGTACTGTAGCATTGTTGCACTGTTTAACAATTGCTGAGTTTAACATAGTACCTGTATGAATCCTCATCTTAAGGGCTTTCTTTCTTCTTGTTCTATTGCAAAGCTTATTCTTAGATAAGCTCACAATCAAACTTGTTTATTCAAGATGATTTATTTTTTTTGCTAAACAGTTTGCATCTCTTCCTTTTTTTCAGCAGTATAGCCATATTTCTTCTTTTATTATTTCTTGGGTTTGTGAATTTTGTTTTCAGAGAATGGTATCATTTCAGTTAGTACTGCTTTTCTGTCTTGTCTCCATAATCTGTTTTTTAATATTGTTTTTACAGCAAGTTGCCAGATTTTTAGTAGTTACATTTGAAATCTTTATAATATGGTGCTTCAAATGAGGCCATTTAACTGTGATATATTAGCTTTATATAATTTTTCAAACTTGTTTTGATCATGATTTCTATAAATAATTTGTGCACCATGTTTTGAAGCACTTTTAAATACTAAAATAAGTGTATACAGTTGGGTTTTGATTAAAACTATGCTTTAAACTGATTAGATGCACGGCAGATAAAGCAGAACATTGCATTGCACACAATGCATGGCGCTCCCCTTTTAAAAAAAAGTATTTTTAGTGGGACTGCACTGCTTTGTAAAACCACTAGGTGGTGAAGTGAATGCTTAAAGTGGCATTTGAAGCATTTGGGCTGTCTTATTTTGAATCTAGGTCAATGCTGAGCCCCTTGAGACAATCTTTATCTAGTTATAGAATTTAAGTGTATACTGTTTAAAATGCATTCATGTATTACAGTAAGTTAAATATTAAATTAATTAAGAAAGTAGGGCTATTTTACAAAAACAAAACTACTCAGTTGGATATATAAAAAATAATTTATTATTATACTGTAGCTTGTTGTGGACGCAGTTTGCTTCTTTCAGGTTTGTATTGGCATTGAGACAATCTATATTTTGTCTTGAACAGAAGACTGTGTTTACTACTTCTGTTCAGCCCTCCTCTCAAGGAAATTATAAAACGTAACAGTTTCAACACATACTGTGAAATCCGATCTAAACTTAAGGCCTTCTTCTTTGACTGTTATACACAATGTTCTTGACACTTATTAAACTCCAAGATCCTGACTGATTTGTCTCATTTAGCTGAAACTGAAAACAGAAAACAATCTGTAGTTAATCATTTTGGAATTAAATTTATTATAAAACCACTGCCATTGACACAGTAGCAGGAGTGAAATATATTTTTATTGTTATTATTTTCAGCTACAAAATTTCCCTTTAGTTGTAAAATTCCTATTAATATTCCATATTAAGTGGATTTAAACATGCACAATAGAGAAACAGATTAAATGAAGCAATTGTTTCACTAACATCTAACGCACCAAGTGCCACCTAATGATCAACTTTGGCCAGTGAATTACATAATGCAATACGCCGCATTTTGAGAGGCAATATTTGTTATTTGTTATTAATTTGCCAGGATACATTGTGTAGGAGTGGGACTGATTTCCCTTTTCTGATAAGTGTGGGTTTTTTTAGGGACACCAATTCTGGGATCAGCCACTCCCCCTCCTGCAGTTACGACACCTCTGTGGAGGCCCGGATCCAGAAGGAAGAGGAAGAGATTCTTATGGCAAACCGGAGATGCCTGGATATGGAAAGCAGGTCAGCTGAACAGCAATTCAAAACAATGGAACAGGTTTTAGTTCCAAAATTTCGCCAACAATGTATTTTCGCTGAGGCTTAATACACGTATTATTATTCACTGTAATGTCTTGATTTTCCAATGTTTTTGCTTCCTGGAATAATTGCTTACACTTATATAGCGCTTTTCTGGACACTCCACTCAAAGCACTTTACAGGTAATGGGGACTCCCCTCCACCACCACCAACATGCAGCATCTACCTGGAGTGCGCCATAGTGTGCCAGAACACTCACCACACATCAGCTATCAATGGGGGAGGAGAGCAGAGAAATGAAGCCAGTTCATAGATGGGGATCATTAGGAGGCCATGATTGGTAAGGGCCAATGGGAAATTTGGTCAGGACGCCAGCATTACACCCCTGCTCTTTTTGAGAAACACGGGCCCCTACTCTTTTTGAGATTTGTATTGACCACAGAGAGTCAGGACCTCAGTTTTACGTCTCATCCGAAGGACGGCGCCTATTTACAGTGTAGCGGCGAGGCTTATTAATAAGAAAGAATTAAGTGTTTCTGAGCTTTCCCAAATTAGGCCTCATTTCTCTGTTCATCTCTGTGGTGCAGCCTAAGAGAAACCATGCAGACTGATTTAGGGTTCCTTTGGGTTCCAGCTCCCAAATGGGGATGCACTTAGCTAAGCCTGGCTATCATGATCAATGGTCATCCATTGGCACCTATCTGTCTAGGGAGTGCCAGTTGGACATCTGGACTGCATTACTAAGTGTCAGGACTTAGTGACTCATATCTCACCTTGATCAACCAATCAGGGACTGGTAGGGCCGAGTAACCCACGTGGGACTCTGATGCCCATGGAACTTTCAGCCAATC